GAAAGCAGGTCTGCTTGTGAAGAATCAAGTCAGTTTTGTTTATCAGGCAATGCACTTATTTTTTCTTTATTTTTGGAACAGTTTTTCTGAATGGATATGATTAACAGTGTGTGTTGTTTTTCTTCCATGACTGACTATGCTATGCCACTACCTTCCAGCCTCAATTGTTTGATGTGAAGTCAGCAGTTAATCTTTTAGTGCTTTTTTTCCTGTTGTATAATGATCCAGTTTTCCTTTGAACCTTATGAAGTGCTTTGTTTGACATTTCGACTATAATATGTCTGAATGTGATTCTCACTGAATCATCTTGAATTTCATTGAACTTTTTCAATATGTAGACTACTGTTTGATCCAATTTAGGAAGATTTCAGTTATTATTTCTGTACAAATATTTTTGTTTTCTTCTTCTCTTCTACTACTATTATGTATATGTTGTTATACTCTTGAATTCTCTGAAACTCTGATTATCATATGATTACTATAATTATATAATTTTAAAGTATACTAAGGTGATTTTTGCTCTTTTAATTTTTTTTTTCTGGTACCAGGAATCGAACTCATGACCTTGCGCTTGCCAGGCAGGCACTGTGCCGCTGAGCTAAATCCCCAGCCCACTAAGGTGATTTTTATAGACTACATTTTAGAACCAAGAATATAACTGCAGAAGAAATGCCAGTGTCTTTCCCAGAGCCTTCTATTGTTTAGTTTTATATGGAAGTGTTTATCTGATCTTGTCTCCTACATATATTTGTCTGATTCAACACATTTGTCAAGAAGGTAGTTTTATAAATCAAGACTTTTAAAGATACTTTGAGAGAGATTAAAGACTTGACAAGATTTTTAGTTCAGCAGAATTAAAAGCCACGTGACAAACTCAAAGCTTTAAGGAGATGGCATGAGTAGATTTCTGGCTCTGGGTTTTGGAGAAAAGAATCACTGGAAACTAAAAGTAATATTGGAAGCACATAGTTGTCATGGTGAAGAACCAAAGCTGGGGTTGTGCTGACAGGAAGAAGGGAATTTTGGACAAGTCTTTCATCTTCATCCAACCTTTCACTTTCCCTGTAGCAACTCTTTTGGTGATATCTAAAAGAAGCTGGTTAACAAAGATAACTGTGGCTTTGAGTGTCCTAATACGAGCTCACAGAAAACAATATAAAAAACTATATTTGAACTCAAGAGCCAATAGCCTAATATAATCAAATTTGTTCCTGAAACTGTAAGGATGAAGTCTCCTGGCAACTCAAAGCTGCATAGCCTAGTATAGTATACCCAACACTAGATACATTTTCTGTTGTGCTTTAGGTTGTTCTAGGCAGTATTAAGTGCCATGCATGAGTTAACTTGTTATTGTGAAATAACAACCACTACCCATTAACAAGAGATGAAGGTATTACGGGCTACTCTCATAACTTAGAAGTAACTATAGTTTTTTACTTTAGATTTGTGTTCTATATTCAACTACTATAAAACTCTTCAAATAACTAGATAAGGGGAGTGCTTTCTTCTGTTGGGCATGTCTGACTCAGTTCCTTCAGTGGATGTTGAGTTCTCATTGTTCATATAATTGCTGCCCCACCGTTTACAGCCCTCTCTGCTTAACATCTAAACCCAAAGCCCTATGGCTTAGTCTTTTGAAGAATTTGACTCAATTTCATCTGCTTTTTATCATCACATTGCAATAGTCATCAGTTCTCTGTAGTTTTTCCTCCCTAGTAGAGTAGGGAAGAAATTTTTCTTCAAGGCTAATCTCTTCTCAAAATTTGAGGAATGCTTTGCTACCACATAACCTGTATTCTATTAAGCTAAAACTTAAAATGCATAAATATAGAACTCTTTCATGTATTAAAGTTTCATCATGTACAAAATTCCAGAAAGATCATTATAGCTGACAAGCAAAGACTTACTACTCTGTGTTATTTACACACACACACACACATGCACACACACATACACACACAAACACACACAGATAATACCTTAGCTACTCAGGAATGTTTATATAATGAAATGCTAATAAACGTTAGAATATTTTATTTAATAAAGTTTCTTTTTGAATAACTCATTGGCTCTGCTAAGACAGACATACATTTCTGGTTTTATATATCATGTGGCTCACTTATTTATTAAAAATTTGTTGAGAATTTATTGTATTCCAGGCTTTGTTACAGGGCTTTTGGATGTTATATAATAATAAACAGATAAAACACTAGATAAAATTTTTTATTTGTGGTGAATGCAAACAGAAAAAAATAAATAAATTAAAAATGAATGTATACTACATCATGTGCTAATACTGTTTGCTTACTAATCAGTAATTTACTTATTATAAGTTACAAGTGCTTTTTAGAACATATTTTCTTTTTATTATTTTCTAAAAGTGTGAATCACATTTTTTGGGGGAGGGTTGTGAGTCTTGGTCTTCCTAAGAGATTTTTAAGTTTGCGTATCTGGAAATATGTAAACCAGCAGTTTGCATGGTTTAAACTCAGGACAGTGTCTCATTTCTACAGTTAGAACAAAAAACTAACCATAATCTCAGAAACCAAAATATTTTTGTCATATTTGTTTGAAAGTCACATGGTGAATTTCTTTTCACATGATAAATTTCTCTTTGAGAATTTCATGTCTGTGACCACGTTTAATACTGGGTCACATGGTGTGAACAAGTTTTCATATGTCATCAAAGTCTTTCCTACTCAGCATACTCTTAACAGCAGCCTTTACATCCTTGTTCCTCAGACTATAGATGAGAGGATTGAGCATAGGAGTCGTCACCCCATAGAAGAGGGAAATGAGAGCCTGAATGATATCTTGACTATCTGCATCAGCAGGGGTTTTAGACTCGGGCTTTGCATACATGAACAAGAGGGTTCCATAGAATATGATCACCACTGTGAGGTGGGTTGAGCAGGTAGAGAAGGCTTTACGTTTTCCTTCAGTAGAAGGAATTCTCATGATAGTAGCCACAATACAAATATACGAGATGGAAATTACTAGCAAGGGAATAACTAGAGCAATCAGATTTGATGCTGCCATGCTGATTACATTGATTGAAATATCAGCACAGGTCAGCTTCAGGATAGCTAGAATTTCACAGACAAAATGCTGAATGACATTATTGGTACAGAACGACAATTGCATTGTGAGAGATGTCTGCACCACTGAATCAATAAGCCCAATGGCCCAGGGTACAGCTGCCATGGGCACATAGACACCCTTGGTCATGATGCCATGGTATCTCAGTGGGTAGCAGATGGCCACATAGCGGTCAAGTGCCATCATGCCTAAAAGCACACACTCCGTGGCACCCATGGCAAAGGAGAGGAACATTTGTACCATACATCCAGAGAAGGACACTTTTTTCTTTACTCTCAGAAAGCTTTCAAGAATTAGTGGGACAGAGGAGGTTGTGTAACAAATGTCCAGGATGGAAAGATTACAAAGGAAGAAATACATGGGGGTGTGCAGATGAAAGTCGTAGAGGATCACTGAGATGAGGACTCCATTTCCAAGCAGGATCATCAGGTACATGCACAAAACTAGCACAAAGAAAACTTTCTGGAGCTTTGGATGGGCAGAAAGCCCAACCAGTACAAATTCTGTCAATGAGGAATCATTGGTTCTTTCCATATTACATATAGTCTTTCTTCAACAGAGGTCTGTGGATGATGAATAGAAAGTTATTAATATACAACTACAGGAGCCACTTTTAAAAAAATCATATTTTGTGCTACTGCACTTTTACAGTTGCCTGCAATATTTTTTTTTACAGCAATCGTAAAGCAAGTTTATATTTTAACAGGGCCTGTGCTACAGCACATTGGCAGGGGGTCAGTATACAGCATTATACAGGAGGGAGCCCTCCTAGATGAAAACGCGAGATGTGGCCAAGGAGGATGCTTATAGAGCAACTTCAGGCCTATTTCAGGGAGGCGCACGGAAGAAAGCCTGTTCTGACGGTTGGGTATGCAAATAAGGGGTCTAGATCCCTCCCTTTCAGACCTTAGCCATTCCAGGCGCCCCTTCCCTTCTTCAAAAAGGCAACTGTACAGTCTGCAGTGGCAGGCCCTGAGGAGGGGCAGTAGGCTGTCTGGCCGCACTCATGAGGGAGTGGTGAATGTCAGTGTGATAGGCAGAGAGAATACGGAAGCCAGATGTCCCAGTCCATTGGAGGAAGGAGAGGAGTCAAAGGGGCTGGCACGGTAGCGGGAGGTTGACAGTCAGACACTTTGCATCTGTCTCATTTTCCTTTGGAGGGATTTCATTCTTTTCATCCTCCTTAACCTTAAGGGGAGTTGCAACAGTGTAATCTTGGGGAAACTTTTTAGGTAAACCCAGGCCACTAAAAGCAGGAACTTCCACCCAACTTTCTCAGACTTAAGGGAAAAGGTCTTTGAATCCTAGACCGTTCTATCACCATTTCCTCAAGCTCCACCTCTTGACCCATAGGCTACAGATCGGTTTCCGGCAACCCAGATCTAACAGGAAGATGTGCTTTGTTTAGTTATTATTATCTGCACTGTGATTTAAATGTGAATTCGACATCACTGTTTTAAGATCAGGGGATATGGCGTCAAAACCGCACTTGCAGCTTGGCTTCAAGTAAATTAGGACGTTTGAAAGCACTGACCCTTTTCCTGGTGAGAGGCAGGATTTCACGCGTGTGTTTCCATTCTTTCAGTGCGCTGTCCTCAGTCTTGTATCTCCCGTCAGCAAAGAGGAACATAGGCTGTCAATGAAGATGTTATTTTCAGTTGGTCTCAATCATTTATGTTATCTAAGGGGATCTTATTTTGTCATTTGTATTAGATATATTGGCCCCTGGCTTCAGGGCTGGCTTATCCTTTAGATGCAGCAGGCTTTTCATATCGTGAGGAGGTTAGACAAATATGATTTCTTTTAAAATCTGAAGGGGAACATTTAGGTTTTATTGCATAATATTTACATATTTGTGTTCATCTAATGCTAAAGTAAAATATGACTCAATTTTTTATGGAGAAAAAGATGTAATCAAAGTCATAATGTGGGCTTCTATCCTTTAGGGTCTTTTTAAAGCTCAGATTCGGGTAACCCACTTGGGTCCCCTTCTGTTTCTCTCGGACAGAAGCTTTCCTTCCTTCAATAAATATATCCTGCTGTTAAAAAAAATAAAGTTCAATTTCACCTCCTGGTGTTTGTGTAGCTGTATATAATCCCTTAAAGGAGACTAGTCTTACTGAGAAAACAAATATATCTTTAAGTTCCTCCAGTACCTTCCTCAATATAAGGATTTATGTATTTGAATAAATTTTAAAAATGAAATGAATTGAGAATATTGACATAGCTGATTTTATCATGAATAGATGTTATATACTGTATATTGTAAGGTTCACCTAATTTCTTTTTACCTTAATGATGAAATATCATTTACAGATCAAGTGTAGTAATAATGCTTTATATATATGTGAGTGTATACATATGTACAGAGGTATAGTATATAAATGAAATAAAAATGAGTTTCTCTGAAGTTACACTGGTTGCAAGGGAGAAGAAAGTACTGTTCTTTCAGTTCCTTGTTCACTCTTTTCATTTCTGTTTTATTAAGAGAAGCCCATGGGGGCATAGTTTGAAAACTACCAATGTAATATGTAAGACTTAATATTAATAATTTGTATTTTAAATAATTTTAATATAAGAATATTCAAATACCAATTTGTGTATTGATAACTCTGATAGATAAAATTTTAAGTGTTTTATTTACAACCAAATAAGGAGGTAGGGAACTATTATTATGTGAAATCTGGATTATTCTTCCTTACAATTTTGGTAAACTTCACTAGTAAAGGCATGGTAGGAATACATTCCAAAAAAAGTAATTATTTGAAAAGATACAGAAAACATTTAGTGAAGTTCAATTCATAATTTTTATATAAACTACCTGAAAGAAACTTCCTAATCTTGAAAGAAAGCTAGTACCAGAAAACTATATAAAATTATATATTATATTTGCTAATAATTAATTAATACACTCATAAATTTTTATGCAGAATAAGGATAACCATCGCTACAACTACTGTTTAAAATAGACTGTGACCAGGACATTGGTCAAAATCATTAAAAGAACATGGCAGAAATAGTGATAAAAAGAAATGAAACATTGATAAGACCTGGTGGGAAAAATTAGTGAGACTTCAGGCCATAAAATCAATGGAAGAAATCAGTAGTTCTCTATTAGCAGTAAATTGGAAACAATGAAAGTAAATATAATAAAAATATGGAAAAATAATGCATTTTAAGAAATAATACATGCAATCTTTTGGAAATCATTTAAAATATGAGGCATGATAAAAATGAGTTATTATAAAGATATGACTTGTGAATATATGAGATAAAACTATAAAAGGCTGAGAAGGGTGCTCTGAAGTAATAAAAGGAGAAAATAAACAAGAAAGTAATGCATAGGGGGACAAGAGTAGGGAGTAGGGCAGAGGAAAGGAATGCCGGTCTGTCCATTTGTGAGGCATCGTAAATGTAATATTAAGCAGTTGTGACATGTTCTCCAGGCAACTGGCAGCCACTGGAGTTTGACCAAGGGGTATTCAATATAAAAGACAGAAAAAAGATTTATGTAGAGATATTATTCAGAGTATTGTCCTTTTCTTATCAATATCCCACTGTGATCTGTGCTTTGTAGCTTTGTAATCATTGTTTTTCAGAGCAATCATTGGCTCCTTGGCTCAGAAGGAAACTGAAATATCTCTTTTGGAAATAGACATATAATAATAATTTAGGTAGAACTGATATAAAGTTTTATTTTTCTGGGCCAAGAAGACAATCTTCCCATTTCCTCTGAGTTCTCAGTTTACTTCTGTCAGTGGAAACTCAAGTGTATTTAGTTTTAGTTTAACATAAAAGCTAAAGATTTTGTTGGGTCCTTCAAAGCTAGATCTTAACTGATATTTAATTGTTAAAGAGATTGAAATCATCATATTAATTACCTCATCCGGCCTGAGTTCTCCAGTTTCTTTTACATCTGAGGGTGAGAGCTACTTCATCAGAAACCTAGAATAGGAAAATATATTAGTTAATAAGTTAAAGGATTGAAAAGATTAGTGTTCGCTGTGCCACAGGAACCTAATTTTTTTGCTATCTTGCTTTTTTGTTTTATTAAGAAAGCCTTCTCCTGATCTTTGCCTCTCAAAGTTTATCTTCTTTTTTTTTTTGTTTTGTTTTTTTGGTTTTTCTCTGGTACCGGGAACCGAA